TGTCGGAATATGTACGGACGGCGCACGGGCTATGTCTGGTGACCAGAATACTTGAACTTAATCCAAACGCATCATGGACTCACTGCAACCTTCACAGAGCAGCGTTAGTATCAAAATGTATATCTGAATATATGAATATGAAAAAATAATATTTTTTATATTCTTTCATATGTTTTTGCCCAGTAAATTTGAGTGGGTCACCATAAGCTGTGGTCATGAATAGTGGGTCGTGATTCTAAAAAGTTTGGGAACCCCTGCATTAATATATATATTCTTTTGGTTTTATATGTAAAATTCTTGAAAACAAACTGCATATTGTTGAAGCAAAACATTCAGAATGTCTTCTCATACTATTTTATGCCATATACCAAAATCATGACATCTCGTGATGATAGGCATAGAGTAGTTGTGCCCTTGGCAATTTTTTGTCTGTACAATTTATCTGTGCTGTGATGGAAACAGCTGAGAGAAGGTGATCCTACTTACCAAATTTAAAAAAGGTTTTGAGGCCAGCCTCACAGCTAATGGAACCAATCAGAATCTAGGGTTTAAAAACAACCAGTAAAGAACTTTTTGCAGCAACAAGGATCATGCATGCTTCACAAAGTCACAGTGATCAAGGGCTGGTACAAATTTAGGATATAAACAATTAAAAGTGAGTTTCATTAAATGATATGCAGTGACTTGGTTAATAAGTGCAACAATTTATCTTGATTAGGAAAGTTTTTCAATTTTAAAGTTCTAAAAATAATGAAACCTTGTCTGGCACAGTGACTCAAATTCACTTACAAATAAATTGAGATGCCTAAAGTAAGTACTGTACTCTCTATTTTTGGGGGTGGGGTTAAAATATTGCCAGCCTTCTCCTCAATATTACCTGCTAGCTGCCACTGTTCAAAGTATAGCAGCACTTTTACAGCTCAAAATTAATAAATGGATTTTTAGATAATGAAAAAATTATATGTCAAACATATGGTGGTTTTATAAATTATTGGATATGTTATTAATCCTAAAACAAGCATCAATAGAAACAGTCTCCTAGTTTGTTTGTTTTTACAGTAAGGAAACAACTATATTGTTAATATAGGGTTAAATAATACTTTATGTGTTTTTGACAATTCTGTAATTATGAAACAAAAATATGGTGGTAGTAAAGAGAATTATTAAGCATCATTTCTTTTTTTTTATAAGTGTTAATGTTAAATCAGTTATTTTTGTAGTTTCAAATAATTAAACATATTGTATGTGGTAACAGCTATTTACATAATAAAGTTACAAAAGAAACACATTTAATGTGAAAGTATAACAGAACTTAATAAGAAACTAAATTTGATATTTGAATGTTTAATAGATGAAAGTGAACAAATAACTGCAACTTTAATGTGATGTATAGGAAATCTTTTTGCAAGGCTCAACTGATGTAATTATTTATGTACCTCTAGCTGTTATACTATTACAATTATTGGAATAAAATTTTTCATCATTAACATGAGGGACTTAATTGCCCCCAGTCCAAGCCCATCAAGGAATGTTGATAAACAATTTTTGTATGAACAAATAAGAAAATTTAGTCATATAAAGTATCAATAGATTAAAAAACTGAAAATATACAAATTAGAAAATTAAACTTTTATATAATGGCTCTGTTAAATCTTTTACAGCAATAAATGTACTTGAATCTATCAACATTCTTTGATGTTAATGAGGAGTTTTATATGAAATACATGCAATACTAAGAACACTTTTTTTTTAACTTCTGTTTTTGAAATTATGAAAATCTTTGTATAGCATTTCACATAAATGAAACTGTTGGAGTATATTATTTTACTCAACATATTACCAAAAGGCATTAGTTAGAGAAATGATAAATTAAGTGAACTGTAAAAATTTAGAAAAAGGACAGAGCAGACTGAGTCCATGAAATGACTGCCTCACTTAGTGATCTGTACTATCATGGTGGAAATATAATAATTATAGTTCCACCATGTATACTACTATGTGCTTCACTTCCACCAATACATAAAATTACCAGCCCAAAAATTGATACATGTGTAATTCAAAAATAAACACTAAATGCAATTTTAAGTTTAGTTTAACTTTGAATTTTAAGTCAAGTTAATGATGTCAGTCAGCCAGAATTGTAACTACAGTTATAAGGAAATAAATATAGGACTACTTACTTTTTCATGCAGGGAGAACCATCTTTTATAGTAACACCACTGACAATGAGTTTAAAATCTTTAACTGAAACAAGTCTAAAAAGTTGACATGTAATTGCAAGGTTTTGTATGACACTAAGTCATCAGAGTGTTTCTAATTAGATATTTGTTGAGAATGTGCTGTGAATAATTTGATAATTTGTAATTAATATTAATTTCTGATGAGACCAAGCTACCTACTTAAATCAAAACTAAAAATCAACCCATTAATAAGTATAATGAATTAAATATATGTTGCTTGTGCTCTTACTTATAAAAAATAAAATGCATTGTTTCATCAGTTGAGTACCTTTGTCTTAAACCTCATAATATTTCATGAACCTTTGCCAGCTTAGGAGATTTAAGTTAGTCTTAAATCCATATAATAATGATAATAATAATAATAATGCAAAACAATATTCATAATAAAGTATAGTAATAAAATATTATAAAGCTAGATTATTAGACATTCTAAATCAATATTGCTAATGAAAGTAACCTTAATTGAAGGATAGAGTACACCTGACTACAGAACACACAAACACTAGTTGTTAGCTTTAGATACTTGAGATGGCCAGGAGTATTCCTCGCTGGACAACATCCAGTGATTAAGTTGGATATAGAATGCAAAGATGATGATGCATATCTATATGCATTACAACACTCTTCTGCTAATCTCTTATATGAAGATAGCATTTTTAAGGGTGTATGTGTTTCCATGATTTTCAAAGCAGAGGAAGCCTCTCTCTCTCTTAAGCACTTATAATGCCCCAGCTATACAGCAGTAGAGTTTTTGATTTCAGGAACCTGTCTACATTACTATTTTCCAAATAGTGGTATTTTGAAACAGCTTAACCTGTTGGGGTTTAAAAGGATGGCAAATAAAGAACTGAATCGTTTCCTCAAACATTTCAAGCAAGTTTCCTCTTAGAATGGGGGCAAACAGTGCAATATCTATGCTGAGTTTGGATAATTTGGTACTCTACTATTAAGAGCAATTGGGCAAGAGAAAGCTTACTGTCAGTGACACAGTTATCATTGAGTTTTGCCATAGATTCAACTTTGTGGAGGACTGACTGATACTTAAGGTTGAGTTCAAGGCTCTAAAGCATTGGACTCATTAGAATTGGGCCAATTATACAGTTATATTAATGAGGTTTCATTCCTGCAGGCATTCCTGCTAATCTTGATGAGTTATTCATTGAAATGTTCATAGATTGACTGCTGCTTAGCAAACTCTGGTATTACTTGATCTATGTTACTTGATTTCTGTGGCAACACAGTGAACTGAATGCTGAAACAGAAGAAGAAATTGACATCAGTAATGACTGTAGTGACTGATTTGACTCAATGATCTATGAAAATCCCCAAGGCTCAACTGAAGTGTCAACTACTAACTTCACTGCTGCTTGTGTTGTAAGTAGTTGCAGCTGCCATGGTTCTTTATGGACATAACTAAGCTTATAATGTCCAGTTGCCATAGTTAATATTCTTTGAAAAGGTTACTGCATATGTAGATGAGGGTAAGGGTGTAGATTTGGTGTATCTGGATTTTCAGAAAGCATTTGACAAGGTGTCACATAAAAGTCTTCTAAAAATAATAATCTCTATAGGTGTGGTGGATAAGTTAGCAAATTGAATAGAAGAGTGGCTGGATGGAAGAAAGCAGAGGGTTGTTACAAATGAAGTTCAGTCAAACTGGATTAATGTCACAATTGGAGCACCTCAGAGGTCACTCTTAGGACTTTTGCTCTTTCTGATTTACATCAATCACATAGATGAAGGAATAGTGAATAAATTACTCAAATTTGCAAATGATATTAAGGTCTTGGGTGTTGCCAGCTGTGAAGAGGATGCTGCTGATTTACAAAAGAATTTAGATCATTTAGTGAGTT